TTTCCCTCCCAATATTTTTTTTTTTTTTTTTTTTTTTTTTTTTTTTTTTGCATTGGGCAATTGTAAAATAAAGCAGAATGTTTTATCATGATTTTTGCTTCGATGACTTTAGGACAAATTTTAAAAAGTCCTAAACTCTGAAAAAAAAAATAAAGAATTTTGTGGCATATAGTCTAGCAGGAAACAGAACTTTTTCCTCAAGGTAAAATTTTACTGAGGCTCTTTAAACTCACCTAGGAAGAAGAGTTGATGCACTGGCCTTTTGTTTATTTATTCGATGATTTTTGGTGACATTTTGGAATATAGTTCTGTATCTTAAACCCAGGTGATATTATAAAATGACTCCTTTAATTTTTTCCATCACAAAAATATTAATTTTGTTTTAAATTTGCAAGAGTGTGCTTATGAGAGAAGTGAGAGAGAGAGAAATTGGAAAACACCCAGGTGGAGAATGTTCAGCTTCTAAAATGGGTAAATCGTCTCCACATTTCTGCTCACCAAGAAGGATCAGAATTTATGGAACTACATGAACCCCTGCAATGTATTTCTCGCCGGTGTATTACTGTACAGAGAATCATGCGCTGCACGCAGAGCAAGTGTCCGACTGATGTCCACAGTTACCCACAGTAGTGCTTTAGGAAAAGGCTGTTTTGACTGTGTAACTTGCCTACAGGAAAGGCCGTCCATGCCCCTTGAAATGAAGAGCCTGCCGGGGAGCAGTAAGTGCACTCATGGTGGCCACACTTCCTTCAGGCTGATCCATTTATGGAAGGAATAGTGACTGCAGCACACACATCCCCACCCTGTGCGTTGGAGAACAAAACAGAGAAAAGAGTAAGTCATCCTAGCGATTTCTATAACAACCGAACAGGACAAAGCTGTATATTTTAGTCGTCTAGATCAGATCAGGATACTGAATTTATAATATCTATGTGTAACCATAATTTTCTTGGATTTACTAAAAGAGATTTAGTTATAGTCATTAATCTATAATTATATTAAAATGTAGATCATTTAATTCAGGCCAACGACTAATTGAAAAATCTAAAGGACAGCAGTGATTTTTTTCTTTTGCTCCTATATGGAGTATTTTTCAAATTATGAATGTGTAAATTGTTACTAACATCAACTTCCCAAATTAATTGAAATTATAAGAGAAAAATGCATGTAGACAATATTTAAAATTATAGTTCATACTCTGATAACATGGTCCCCAGTGGACTGGCTTAGGGAGGTGGTAAGATCTTAACAGGGAATGACTCACCGAAGGGCGCCATCCTCATGGCTGGGGGAGGATGAGGACAGGAAAACCAGAGCTAGACTCCATTTTGGTCCCCAGTCAGATGGTTCCTGGATGGCTGACAGAACCCAATTTCAGGGGTCTTCACAGCTGACAACCCTGTCTCTGCTCTCCTTGTATTCCAGCCCCTGAGATTGGGAAGGGTCATAAGACTCATTGATCTCCACTTCCATCAGCCATCAGCCCTGATGAATCTAGATTTAATTTCGTAAGTGAGCATTCAAGATTATCTACAAATTTGACAGCATATATCTTTTTTTTTTCAGAGTGTGCATGTACTCTCCAGAGAGAAACACAGCAAGACAAGAAGGGATGATGATAAAGCAGACCTCATGTAGAGTGGTCATGTCGCAGTTCCCTCTTTTCCATTTCTTCCTCCTTTTTGAGTTTTGGACACATAAACACATGCTCTCGGCATGATATTCAAGACCTGGACTTGAACCACATACTTAGCCATGTGGGATCAGCCTCCTGAGGAACCACAAAACAGTCTGCCACAGCTTATATCTTAATCAAAATAAATCCTAATATTTCTACTCCAATTAACAAATAACATATATTTATGTTAATTGTTATATATATATGTTATATATATATACATGTTAATTGTTAATTGGGGTAAAATTATGTATATATATATACACATACACACACACATGCGTGCACATATATGTGTGTGCGTGTGTGTATATATATATATATATATATAAAATGTAGGCTATTTAATTTGACTACTTAATCCACATTGAATTAATTCACAAAATAAAGTGATTTAAGAAAGAAAAAAAACTGTTGGTTTACATTTGGAGGAAATAATATTCCTGTGATATGAATAATGAACGGTTGATCCCCAAAGACCACACTCTGATAATATGGTCCCCAGTGGACTGACTTAGGGTGGTGGTGAGATCTTAACAGGGAATGACTCACAGGAGGGCACCATCCTCGTGGCTGGGGGAGGGTGAAGACAGAGGAAGGGCAGACTCTGTGTCAAGTCTCTGCCTGTGTCCACCTGTCTCCTAGATTCCCTCAGCAGGGCAGGGATGTAGCAGCACTGGAGCCATCCTGAGCAGGCCCCATGCATGGGGACTTCTCAGCTGCCAGAATCATGAGGTAAATAAACCTCTATCATGTGTGAATCACCCAGTCTCGGGTACCTCTGTTCAGCTGCACAGCAATGGACCCTGGCAGGGATGATATTGGTTCAACAGCTCAATCCACATTGTGTCTTCATTTCAGTCTTATATCCCCCGTGCTGTATTGCAGACGCTGACATTCACTTCTCCTTACACACCTTACACACACACACACACACTGGTTCCCTTACTAGGGGTACTTGGATGACACTTTAGTTCCTCAATTTGTGAGTGTTTGTGTAGTGTGTAGTCTCTTAAGATAGGATTTTGCTGGTTCTACCTGCTCCCACTACTGCACCCAGTTTTCACACTGAGCTAAACTCAAACCAGCTTTCTTGAGGGCTTCAGCCTTCCTGGGAGCACCACCTTGAGCAGCACTGTGGCTGGGCTGCAGTCTAACTTAGAGGTGTGACCATGTCATGGACCCCAGGAGTCTGGTGGGAAAGCTCCTCAGGCAGCCCATTGCAGGCAGAGCCAGGAACAGCACAGTGGGGTTAGGAGGGGGCTTACTGCAGAGTGAGTGATGGATGGGAGCAAGCACCACACAGGGGACAGTTCATCAACTAGAAGGTGTGGGTCTGGGAGCAGCAGAGCCCCAGGAAGGGCAGAGCAGCAGGGTGGGCTCTGCTTACTGGGACAGGGAGGCTCATGGGGCCCAGGTGCTGGTCTGAACAGAGCAGAGGGGTGAGGGCCACAGGAGCCATGGCTGGGACCTGCGGGCAGTACAGGGACCAGGCTGACAGTTGAGTGCAGGCTCTACGGGATCCAGACTCCAGTGCTCGGGGCCAACGAGCATGGAGAGGTGAGTCTGCAGGAGAGCTGGCCTTGCAGGGTCTGCTGGGCCCCAGGAGGCCTCCTGTGTGACACTGGGGTCTGTGTGCAGGTCAGCAGGGCTGCGGGAAGGTGATGGATACGCCAAGGTATGGGCATCCTCAGTCTCTGCCCCAAGCACCACACAGGGGACAGTTCATCAACTAGAAGGTGTGGGTCTGGGAGCAGCAGAGCCCCAGGAAGGGCAGAGCAGCAGGGTGGGCTCTGCTTACTGGGACAGGGAGGCTCATGGGGCCCAGGTGCTGGTCTGAACAGAGCAGAGGGGTGAGGGCCACAGGAGCCATGGCTGGGACCTGCGGGCAGTACAGGGACCAGGCTGACAGTTGAGTGCAGGCTCTACGGGATCCAGACTCCAGTGCTCGGGGCCAACGAGCATGGAGAGGTGAGTCTGCAGGAGAGCTGGCCTTGCAGGGTCTGCTGGGCCCCAGGAGGCCTCCCGTGTGACACTGGGGTCTGTGTGCAGGTCAGCAGGGCTGCGGGAAGGTGATGGATACGCCAAGGTATGGGCATCCTCAGTCTCTGCCCGGGGCAACATCTGCTAGGAAGGCCACAGCGCAGAGTCTGCTAGAAACCACAGGCTGCCTTTCCTGGCCTTCCCCAGACGCTGTAGTAAGCACTTCCCCTGGCCACGTTTCTGTGCACCAGGGACTGAAAACGCAGAACATCGGCTCCGCTTATTTCTAATTTCTTATTAATTTTAGAAATATTGTGATGGGCCATGTCTGCTTGCAGAGAGAGACAGAAAAGAGAGAAGGAGAGAGAAAGTGAGAAGCACTCTCCAGGCACACGGCCACCCCACGGTCCACCCCACGGTTCCGTCCTCTCCTGGTCCTCCTGGGATTTGGGGTGCTCACTCAGCCAGCTAGGATGCTGGGCCAGTTACGTCCGTATGCATCCTTCTACAGGGACATGAACTCTTTAAAGCAGCAAGGCAATTCTACATCTTTATTTAATAAAACGCATGTATATTTCTTGCAAGTAAAGAAATTCTCACTCTCCCCAGTATAAAAAGACAGTTTGAGTGCATTTTCGACATTGTGTGTTGCAGTATGTATTCAATAAATGCAGTAAAAATTGTATTGAATGTACCATCTCCTAAAGACTAAGCTATAAAATTAACCTCCAGTAACACACACACGTACACACACATATACACACACGTATGCACATGCACACATAGACATACACATGTAGACACACACATTTTGTACACATATTTACAAAAGTGGAAGACGGAGGGGAGAGAGACCAGGATATACCAATAAACACCTGCGTGTGGCAGACAGGGCAATTAAGCAGTACAAGCAGAGTCCTCACTTCTGCACTGTCCCTGAGCTCACAGTTAATACAAAAGACTGCAAAAAAATTCATGGGAATATTTATTTAAGTTTATTTTGGAATGAAAGTTTTCTGGAATCCATGCACAGTTTTCATAACACACAGTATCCATGAGCATCCTGACACTGCCTGCATCTACGACTCCTGTCCCGTTTCCACTCCGCGTCTTCTGACCTCAGCCAGCACCTCAGCTGCCTCCCTGCTGCCCCAGAGGAAGATATTTGAGCCTTCATTATCCAGATCTGATCCTCGGCACTTGTCCAAGCTCCTTTCCGCAGTGCTTCCTGTGCCTCACCCCCAGGCATATCCTGGCTTCTGCGTGTCTTGAGCCCAGTCAGTTGGTCCTTTGCTCACAGTACAGAACACACTACTATAGTCCCTGAAGTAGCATATTGCAGTGAATCTTTTTATTTTTTTTTTCTTTCCTTTTCGCTGGATTCAGAGAGAGACAGTGAGAGAGCATTGTCCCAGGGAAGTGGCTACACTGCAATCCCTTCCACTTTGTTTTTTCTCTTAAAATCTCAGGCACACATGTGCATGTACCTAGAGTGATTTTTAATCCTCCAAGTCTGGGACTTTAACTTGGTCAGCTGTGGGAGTCCAGTGCATCAACAACCGTGCCACCTGTGGGCCCCTGCAGTTAAACTTTTGATGTTGTGAATGGGACTCTATTTTGTACCCTGGATGTTTAACCTATTATATTTATAACATTTCATTGTAACAGGAAAAATTCTATTTCTTAAAAATACAATTTCTTAACAATACAAAAATGCAAACAAAACAAAGAAACTTCAAACAAAATTCCAGAGGCCAACAGATAGCATAATGATTAAGGTGATGGATTTTCACATGGTTGATCACATTGGAGTTCCACACTCAGTGGCTTGAAAGTCAAGCTGAGCACATGTGCATGCATGCTGTAAATCCCAAGAGGGTAAGGGACATTTTTTTCTTTCTCTGCATCTCTCTATAACTCTTTGTTGAGATCAAGCACCCTATGGCAAAAAAAAAAAAAAAAAAAAAGGAAGAAAGAAAAAGAAAAAGAAAAATCTGAGCCAGCACTTGGTATGGAGATTAAGGACTTATTTCTCACATGGCTGACTTAATGGTTCAAGTCCTGGACCCAGGGTATTGAAAAGCACAGGGTGCATGTGCCCATCCCCCAGGATGCATTTGCCCTGTCGCAAAACTAAAGCAAACAAATAAAAAAAATATTTCATCTTCATTCTCTACATGGAATTGGGAGCAACAAAATTGTTTAAAAGAGAAGTGAATGCCCTGCTCTTCCTTAGGAATACATTTCCATGGGTGTTTTAAGACAAAATCTGAGGCTTGGTCTGAGGTAGGGAAGTTTAAATGTAACAGAGGAAACCCTTCTCTGAATTAAAGTGAAGAGTGTGTAGCAGGAGGTAATGTCATTGATCCCATAAAATCTCTGGCAAGCCTGGGGGTAGAATGGCTGGGAGAAAGCATGAGAACAAAAATCCTGCTCCTGAGCAGAGACCTGACCTCAGATGTGCCAGGGTAGAAGTAGGAAAAAGCTCAGTAAGGAAGTTTCTGTCACCAGGGTGACCACAAAATCGAGCAACAAATAGGTGCAATGTTTTTCTCCTATGATCTCTATTGACTATATCTGGATAAATTATAAGGCCCTTATAAACGTGAATATTCCCATCTGTAAAAGAAAGAGAAAACTTATTTAACCCATTCTCTATGAAAGGAGGATGACAACCTGTGAAAGACCCAAACCAACTCACCTGAGTCACCGTGACTGAAGGGAGGGCTCAGCGTGCATTGTGTGCACTGCCCAGGAGGGCACTGTGCCAGGTAATCCACTGGAAAAGTGGATTAAGAAGCCATGTTGTACCTTGTCTAGAATTTCCAGCTAAAGCAATTATTCACAATGGTGTGGGGAAACCAGACCTTCAGCTCTGACTTCATCTTGCTAGGGATCTTTGATCACAGCCCCACCCACACCTTCCTCTTCTCTCTGGTCCTAGGCATCTCCTCAGTGGCTGTCCTGGGGAACTCAGACGGTGCTCCTTTTCTGCATGGATGCCCAGCACCTTCCTCTTCTCTCTGGTCCTAGGCATCTTCTCAGTGGCTGTCCTGGGGAACTCACCTATGGTGCTCCTTTTCTGCATGGACGCCCAGCTGCACACCTCCATGTACGTTCTGCTGGGCCAGTTCTCCCTCTTGGACCTCATGCTTGTCTGCACCACAGTGCCCAAGATGGCCACCAACTACTTGTCTGGAAGGAAGTTCATCTCGGTGGCTGGTTGTGGAGCCCAGATATTCTTCTACTTGTCCCTGCTGGGGGCCGAGTGCTTCCTGCTGGCGGTCATGGCCTATGATCACTATGTGACTACATGCTACCCTCTTAGGTATACCATTTTCATGAATCAGAAACTCTGTATTCTTATGATTGCTGCTTCCTGGGCCTTGGGCTCTCTTGATGGCATCATCATACTTGTGGCTGTCCTGTCATTCTCTTATTGCAGCTCTCTGGAAAGTCATCATTTTTTTCTGTGATGTTGCAGCCCTTTTACCTTTGTCCTGCACAGACACATCTGCGTTTGAAAGATTGCTTTTCATCTGCTGTGTGGTGATGTTAACTCCCAGTTTGGGTTATCCTCATTTCTTATTCTCATGTCCTTTGAGCTGTCATCTGCATGGGCCCTGGGGAAGGTCTCCGCAAAGCCTGTAAGCACTTGCTCCTCCCACCTGTCTGTAGTGGGACTCTACTATGGCACTGCCATATTCATGTACATGAGATCAGCCTCTAGTCATACACCAGACCAGGACAAGGTGGTGTCAGCCTTCTATGCCATCCTTACCCCCATGCTGAACCCTCTCATTTATAGCCTCCGCAACAAAGAGGTATCCAGGGGATTGAAGAAGCTACTGAGGAAAGGAAAGTTAATGTAACACTATAGAAAGTCTTTTGAGTGCCCACTGTTCAACATTC